CTGCCCCTGCCCCTGCCAGGGCGGGCAGGTGACGGGAACCGGCTTTCTCCTTGCGCTCCTGTCGCTTTTATTGCCGCCTGTCCGGTCTCTGCAAGCTGGACGTCGCAGCGGCTCTTCGCGTTACCGCCTCGGGTTAGAGGCACCTTTTTTTTTTTTTTCTTTTCCTTTTTTTAAACGCAAGTTTGCTACTGTATTGTGTGTTACAAAGTTTCGCGCCACCTTCCTGCATTAAAAATAACAGTTCAGTCTGGTAAAACTTGAAAATCGCTCGCTCGCCAGGGCAGTTGGAGGAAGCCAGCTTCGCGCAGGCGTGCGCCTTAAACTCCAGCTGCAATACCTGGTTTTGTTCACGGTGTGCAAATTCAACGCCAGTAACGCTGTCACCGCCACAAAAGCTTCAAATAGAAGAAACGTTGATGGGTATTTTTTGAGTGTGTTCGAAGTAACTGCTTCTGTTTCTTTTGAAGGATAACGGTCACGTTCAACATCAATAACAGCATTCCACCCTCAGTCGATGAAGAAACACAAGAAGAGCAGAAACCTGATGAGCAGGAGGTAACAGTCTTGACGTGCACTTCAGTGATGGGTACACAGAGGGAAGTTAGAACCTTGCCCTTAAGCCTTAGGGGTTTTTTCCCCCCACCCCTCACTTGATGTTTGGGTACATTAAGTCACAAAATGCAGATTTTTCGGGGTTGGCTGTCACTTGGCTGTGACCCTCCTCTCTGCAGCAGAAAGGCAGAGCAGGGCGAGAGGGCTCCACAAGGAGAAATGAGAGGAACCCGGATATCTCTTGCCTTTGCAACCCCCTGCAATAAATACTGCCTTTTGTACTTTGCTAGCATAACTCACGGTGCTGGTAGGCAACATCAGCGAAATGCAAAGCTTTTCACTTGCGTGGTTTTGTTGGTCAGAAGGGTCTCGCTCCTGTTTAATAAAACTCTCTTAGTAAAAATACCGGTAAAAACTGTAAATGAGCAATGTAATTTGAGGCAGACGGCTTCATCTGCAGCGGCACTGATGCTGAACAAGTCAGGAATGCAGCTGCTCCACTGTAGCAGTCAACTTGCATTTTCTGCATGGTAGTATTTATCCTAGCACATTGTACTCAGCTGGGTGGGACAGTACTGCGGGCACTTGCACATTGCTTCCCTTCCCGGGCCTGCTGCGTCTGCTGAGAAGGCGCAGTGCGCTTGATCCGTGCACGTGTACGTGTGTTTGACAGTCTCTGTGCCCTTCCAACTTTCTTCCGTGAAGGAGGGCAGGCACGAGCAGCTCCTGCCATCAAAACAATCTCAATCTGAGCCTGTTCCCAGTTGCTGTCACTTTGGAGGGAGCCATCCAGGGGAGCTGCGGGCTCTCTGGGTTGTCAGGGCTGGCAGATGCGCCCAGCTGCCGCGTTACCCGTGTGACCAGCCGCAGAGCAGGGGGGCTGAAGGGCCGTCGGCGAGGCTGGGGGAGGCTGGGGTTGCTCTGGCCAGGTCAGAGACTCCAGAAAGAGGGTGACAGGAACAGCCTGCGCTGGATGGGCTGTGTTGCTGGGCTGTACTGTCACCGCTTTGGCTCCTGTTCGGACTTCAATGCTGATGCAACTTTTCTCTTATTTAGCCTGATCTTACGTCAACTCCAAACTTCGTTGTGGAAGTAATAAAAGATGATACAAAACAGACCCTTGTTCTTGACTGCCATTATCCCGAAGACGAGGTGGGTACCGAGGTGGTCGTGCATCAGCCGTAGCCAACTCTGGGCTGGGACTCGCTGTGCATTCCCGCTTGACTGTAGTGTAATTGTGGCGCTGTTGAATCTAACTGCTCTTTATAGTCTGTTGGTTTTCTGAATTTGCAGAAAATGTAGTCCTCTCTTACCTCTCTCTTTTTTTTAAACACAAAAAAAAGGCTTTGTGTTTCCAAGAACACTCTTTGAGGAGGAGATGTTCCATTGCATTCCTCACATCCTGACCTGGTGTTTCTGATCGGCTGCTTACTGGCCAGTTTATTGAATTACATTAGAGAAGGGAGGCATGGCTTAACTTTAACAGCACAGCAGCTCGAGACGGGTAGACAGGAATGGCCAAAACAAGATAGATTTAATACAGTGTGTCAGTAATTTGCGAATCTCACTGTTGTGAGGTGTCACAAAGAAAAGGGGGGAAGGGAATAAAATTGAGAGCTTTGCTTCAGACTGATCTTCGTGGTTTATTTTGTAAACCTTAACAGATCATCTGTGCGGCCAGTTCTAGCTGACAAAGGTTAGACAGACTTGTGAAGACAGATTTAGAACCACACGGAATAGTTTTTACATCTTTATAAAAGTCAGGCTGCTGATGTACATCAGGTCGTTGCTGGTAGACTGACCTCTCAGGGGATTTTCTGCATTCTCGGGCATGTGTGTGCTTGTCTTCACAGGCACACATTGAGAGGGGAGAGGCATAGCTTTCGTACCGGTCTTGGGGTTTTGCTTGCAGTGTAATATTCCTAGCTTTGGGATGAGGTGGCTGAAAGGGCCCTGTAGTTAGAGCTAATCGTATGTCTTGCATCTCATCTTCTGTTTCAGGTTGGACAAGAGGGAGAGGAAGAAAGTGATATTTTCACAATTCGGGAGGTCAGCTTTCAGCCCACTGGAGAATCGGATTGGAAGGACACCAACTACACCCTCAATACGGATTCCCTTGACTGGGTAAGTGCTGCTAACTCGGCCGTAGGCTGCAGAGGGCACTTCAGCTTATCTCGCCTGGCTGTCCCTTTGCTCCTGAATTATGAATGAGTCCTGTCCGGGATGTCTGAGATGGGGGATTCCTCTGCTCTGCCCCAGCTTGTCATGAGACAGCGGTTCTGTTGCAAACTGAGGATAATTACGTGGTCCCAGCGGCTGTGCAGAGCTGGTGGCATTACTGGCAGTCAGAGACCAACATGTTGAAACTTGTTCTGTTCCAGGCTTTATAGCTTGATTTCCTAGCAGCTATGCTACACTTTAGAGATGCTTTGACACTTGCTTAAACATCTTTTGATCTATGTGTTTAACAATGTAGCTTATCAGATACCACATGTACGTGTCTTTGTTTTCTGGGTTTTCCAGGTATGTTTTTATAGTTGTGACACAAAAAACTAGTATGCCGAAGAATCGGGCATCTGCTTGTATGTTCTCAATATCAGGCTTTCAAAAGGTTAATCTTATTTGGAGGCTGTGTATCATATGGTTAAAACTTGACTCTTAGAGTGTATCTCTCTTTGGGAAGCATTCACGTTAAAATTGGTTAGTCTGCTCTAGAACATCCCACACTGCTTTTTTTTCCCCCCTCTCTGACTGAGACACAAAACTAGTTAAAAAATGTGTATTATTTGTGATCTACTCGGATTACAGAAGTCCAAAATTAATCATTTGCTCAGTAATACTGGTCTGTTAAAAAAAAAAAAAAAACCCAACAAAAAAACCCAAACAAACCCCCAAGAAACGCATGTCAGGTATTACTGTACTAATTAGCATTAGCATTAGTATTAGCATGTGTATTAGCATTACTGTACTAAGCAGTAATAATGAATCTGTTCTCCTGAGGAGCGAGGGGGGGGAGCATGCAAGCATTAACATATGTCGGATTTGCAACAGTTAAGTAGGATTAAAAAGAAGAAAAAAAAAAAAAAGTGTTGATGACTCTAAAAGATTTAGTCTCTCAAACAAATATTTGCATCAGATAACCCTTTCCAGACACTGTTAAAGCAATTCACCCCAAGGCCATAGCACTATATAGGGGGGACAGGCAGAGATTGGTATGTGTAATCTTTGACAGACGTTACCTGCTGACTCCTACGGTCAGTTGATCATCTCCAGAGCGCAGCCTGTTTGAAATGCTGGGTTTGGGTTTATAGGACCAAGTTTGGGTGACCTGTTCCACAGCCCCTTCCCTCCAAGGCCAGGCCCACAGAGGAGGGGATGGGGTGCTGCCTGGTCTCCCGTGGGAGGGTCAGGCCAGATCTTCCTGGGAGAAAGAAATGCCAACTGCTGTGGGACATTTTAAAAACAACCCCTACCCAGGTGTGCTCTGCTAAGGAAGTTCCCTGTTCATTGCTTCCAGGCTCTGTACGATCATTTAATGGATTTCCTGGCTGATCGAGGAGTGGACAACACGTTTGCTGATGAGTTAATAGAGCTCAGCACCGCACTGGAGCACCAGGAGTACATTAAATTCCTTGAAGACCTTAAAAGCTTTGTCAAATGTCAGTAGGTTAGGCTAGGAAATGTATCTTCAAGTGTGGGTATTCCACAGCACTGCTCAGCCAGCAATACCCAAATATATCTTCACAACAGATATGGAGAGTAAGTAACTTTGCAGTTGGAAATGAACACCATGGGAGAAGGAGGATTCTCACTTGTATTTGTGGATTTGTATTTATGGTGCAGCCCAGATCAAGTTCTCTAACATTACGGTCCGAAATTGCCTCGCCCTACTTGGTGGTTTTTGTACAATTAAGAATGAATGTGAAGAATAAAATCTGTTCAACATATCACTGAAAACTGGTCGTTTCTCTTCTTCCTGCTGTACCATTGCTGATGCAAGAGCTGCCATAAAAATTATGCTAGTGTTTGTCTGTGCCTGAGCCAGTGTTAATACGGCTGCCTGCAGGGCTGTTGCTGCCGCAATGGTGTGGGCTGGCCCAGCCTTTTCTCTGGGGAGGGCTATTCCAGCACCTCCAAACACGTGCTGTGCCCTTCTGCCAGCATAGCTGTGTCTGTAGGAAGTTCGCTGGCCAAGCAGTGCTAATTATGAATGTGAATCCCATTCGAGAAGCCTTGCCTGTCTATGTGTTAGGGAATAGAATTCAGGGTCCTAAACGTTGTCTGAGGAGCTGTTTTGGAAAAATACCGCAGGGAGGCTGTAGCACTTAGTTCCAACAGAAGGATGCTGGTGTCAAAGGCAGTGCTGCAGGGCAGCAGCTGCGGTCTCCTACTCAAATCCGTGTCTCCAGTTGTTACCAGAAGGTCATACTAAGTTTAAACAGAAACCAAAGCTGAAGTCCAAGGTGAGCTGTGAGATCACCGATGCATTACTAAAGAAAGACAACACAAAGGCTGAAATGAACTAAGTATATTTATTTCAAAACATACACTGTGCCATCAAAAGTGCAGGTCAAGGCAGTACGACTGCCTTTTCAAGTATCTTTATAACACAGCAGTTACAAGTATATACATAAAAATACTAGCAGCTCTGGGTGGATTTTTAGTCTTGAAGTGCTTCCAGTCAAAAAGCAGCAGACGAATCAATTTACAGGAGAATCGTCCAGGAGTCACAGACCTTTACAAAGGTAAGTTGAACAGAGAAGCTATAGCAATGTATAAAATGATTTATTAATGTTCAAAAACCATTTGACATGCTCTGCTCCTAACACTATCCTCACCATGTAGGTACACACAGTGATTTTACTTAAGCAGCAAAGCTAAGAACTTGCTAGCTGTAGCTTGAGCCAAAAGGACGGTACGTGTTTTCTAAGAGGTATGGGCGAGCCTTTTGAGGAGGCTTAAACTGAAGTAATTTTTAAAACTTTTCTTCATGAACCACTTATCTGAATAGATGCTCCACACAAAACTTGGAAGTGGTTGGCTACAGTGTGAGAAAGGTAAGGCACTAAGTTTGACAGGTCAAAGATTCTCTAATCCAGCAGTTAAGGTGCGTAATTTGGCTCTTCCTTTTACAGTTACTGGCGGTCAAAAGTAAAAACATTTCCGAGGAAGTTTGTGGAAAAACAGCAACACAAACCTCTGGGATCAATGGACTTGTGGTTTCTGCCCATGTAATTGAGATGTGGATCCAAGCACAGATCCCTTCCAGGACCTTGACATTTAGACTCACCGGACAGCTCATGAGAAGACTGGCTTCCTCCTCCATTCCGCTGGTCACTGTGAACTCTGGGTTATGAAAGCACCTGTGACTGTGCTCTGTTACAGTGTTTTCTAGAAGTGACCGAAGCTTCCCTTCTGTCATATCCTGAGAAAAATGGGGTTACAAGAAATCTTACACTTAAGTTGCTGTCTGTAGCTTAAAACTGCCTCTTTGCAGCAGCAGACTTAAGAGGTCACATTTAACACGTTACTCACAATGCAGCTTACCTGCGTGCTGATGTATAAGCCACACTGGCAAAAAACCAAGTGATTCGTCACAGTCAGGTTATTCCTAGAAAGAGCATACACTGAGCACCATCACAACAAACACAACAAAGGTAGATTTTAGCAAAAAAAGCTCTTAGATTTAGGAGATCATTGCTGAGGTTTTTTGATTTTGTTGAAATTAACACAGCAGCCTTTTTGCCTGCTGCTTTTGCCTGTTTCTAAGCCCAAACTGCTGTAGGGGAGTGGAGAAGCTCATTCCAGTGCCAAGGGCTTTCTTACTTTCTACACACTGGGCAGATGACCTTGTCGCTGGCATCCAAGCCATCAAGCATTGCGTTGAGACATTCTTCATCAAACTGCAGACTTCGCTCGTACTCTTCTATAACCGACTGTTCTGCAATAACACAGCGAAATACCCTCACATGTCTGTTATGAACTGAAGACAGAGCAGCACACGTGAAGCTGCTGGGCAGACGGAGGCCAGGGCAGCCACCAGTTTCTGAACTTTTCTTTCTTTGGATCAGATTTCTACGCTTGAAATCATTCCTGTTAATCCAGGTTTTCCTATGGCTCAATCTTTAGCCGGTCTCAAGTGGGTGACTTTCCACTTTCCAACCAACAATTTAGAAACATTCTGAATTGATTTATACAGGTTCCTACAGCCCCCAAACACCTCAGTCATGTTTCTCTGGTCTCTCTTACTAGCAGACCTTAAAATGCCACTTAAAACTGTCAAAAAGGGTCTTGATGCATTAGAGAGGCCACAGAGATTTCTAAGGAGGCTCTTCCATATCACATGGTCTACGAGAACCAAGGAGTGCAGCCTCAGCTAGCCTGGATTACCAGAAAGTCGAAAGGAGTCAGAAAACGTGTAAAGAAATTACCTTGCAAGATCAATTCCTGTTGGATCTCTTCCAGTACTGCTAGCTCATCGGGGTCCTCTAGCATCTGAAAGACGCATCAGTCAGTAATTCTCCCATTCTGGCTACTTTCTCACTTAATTTCCAGCACCTGACTGAGCTGTCGCTGCCACATAAATTCACCCTGCTTATTCTATCTGGTAAATCTCCGTACGTGCAAAAGCACGCGCTGTGGAAAGCAATCTATACTATAACCACCTGTGCAAAGCCAGCCACCACGGATCAGAGCACAGCCTGTCCAAGAACTTGCTTTTTATTGAAGTTCCACTCCCGCTCCCGGGAGTGGCGAGTGGCAGACCAGCTCCAAAAACCACAGACGAGGCACCCACCCTCTGCCACGATTCACACGCAGTTTGTCAAGGACACAGGGAAGTTCCCCGCTCGCGGGCCCAAAGGCCAGCGCTCCCACGGCACGACACCCCGCGCTAGCTGCGGAAGCGGGAAAGCCGGACGCTCCGCGTTTTGCCAACTACAACCGGCGAGCGCCTGAAGTTACAGCTGCGAGAGCCGGATTCGATGCACGGGCGCTGGCGAACGCCCCGGCCCGAGAGCGCCGCACGTACCGACCTGCGCCATGGCCGCCTTTCCCCGCAGGGCCGGCA